ATATATATTATATATACTGAACACTGTATTATCGTAGAGACGAGAGGAGATAAAAGGAGCATTAAACACACACATGATATCCGAGCGAAAAATAGCACAACATCGAAAGACAGAATTGGAGGAGGCGTGGATCGATATCGTTTTCGCTGGAAAATCCTTTTCGACGGTGTCGGATTCTCGCAAGGGTTGTTGCATATAAAGGATTAGACGTGGCTACCGGATAATTGTAATGCAAAAGCTGACGTGATTGATGACTGGTAGTTGCCTCGACAACCCACCACGAAGGTCGCCAAGCCCTCGATATCTCTGCTTCGAGTTTCGAATTCGCGTCGAAGCTAGGATATCTTCCTTACACTCGTGATTCTTTCGCCTATTTTCGGCTTCCTTTTTTTAACAGAGAAGAGGAGAACGCGAGCAAAGGAAAATCGAGGACGTGGACTGACATTTGGGACACTCGAGGACCGTTTTTCCGTAAATAGAACGAAGAATATAAACTGGAAGCTCGAAATGGGAATTAAGCCAAAGTATGAGGAGACGTTAGCCACGAGAGACGAGTTCGAAAGCAAAGACAAGGAATTAAAGCGCAACGCGGCCCAATTTGTTAATATCATTCCCCACGGAGCTGAGTAATCGTGACTGTAACTAAGGGAACGAGAAGAGAGGATTTTCGATAAAATGGCTCTCTCTCTCTCTCTTTCTCTCTTAGCTATATAGACACGTCACAAGGGATTTCGATTGGCCTTCCACCGCGATCCCCCTCATCCGCCTATCTCCGCAACTTATTAAAAAAACGAACGTGACGCGTCGCGTATATCATAAATAACATGTTTAATTTGGACGTCGATTTTAATGAAAAGCATCGTAACGAGGGAATGCTACCACTTTCAACGAATGCAATTAGTTCTACACTTTTTAAGTCCCGATGTTGCAATCTTCGTCTCGAAGATGTGTAAAAATTCACTTCTACTTCGTTAATTTAATAATCTCTTTTCATCGAAATTAAATAGGATGTATCGCTTTACAATTTTAGATAACGATTAAAGTGTTTGAATTTTATAGTACATACTTAACGTTATTAATCTTAGCTATAGATTCTTCACTACAATCACTTTCGATATACTTTGCATAGTTTTATATTGAAATGGAATAGAAAGAAGATTTTTCTTCTCGTTTATATCGGAACAGTTGTAAAAGTAATGCAACAAAGAAAAAAAAAAAAGAAAACGGAAACATCGATCTCTCTATTCTTCCATTGTTTTCAAAACCTTTCAAATCGTTAGAAAAAAAGAAAAAAAAAAGAAAAAGAAAAAAAATCGTCGTTTTTGAAAAGGAAAACCTTTCTCGAGTGTTGCACTCGAGAAAGAAACTCGACGAAACGATATACATGCGGCGTATATCTGATTCGTGTATTTCGACGTTATTCAACGAAATCACCGGTCGCGTTTACTAAGCGGATGACTCGGTCACGAGTTCAAAGAGGGAGATTTAAAGTATTTCCGCGTTCAAGAGGCGGAGGAACGAACATTTCCACGTTCGGGATCCTTCTCGTAAGAATAGTTAATCGTATCGAATATTATCTGGAGTATTAGCGGAGTGCAAGGTGATGTCTCGATGACGTTAAAGGCTGAGAGTTAAAGGAAGGGAAAAGGAAGGCTCGCCCCAAGTGTGGATTCGCTAGTTACGATCGATACGCGCCGCTTTCTAGGTCAGGGTCCCGATACATACTCGCCACTCACCGCTACTCAGGGATACATGCTCAAAACGCGTCCCGCAAATTCATTTGAAACCAACCATCCGGCTTTTCCTCCGTTTTCCCACAGAGAATGTCGAAGAAGAGGCCGATGGTGTCGTCGTTGTCGTCGTTGTCGTCCCTACTCCCCCGTTCCCCTGCGCTGCTTCTTTCCCCTCCTCTGTTTCACTAACTCGGATGTATACCGAGGAAAATCGAGGGGAAGAACGGGATTGAAGCAACGAGTGCTCACCGGGACAAGAAAAATATATGTAGCTTCTTTTCGCGTGGAAAAAAAAAAAAAAGATTTCCGCTTTTAGATGAATCGACCGGTAAAAGTGTGTACGTAGATGTGTGCACATGTCTTCCTTTGTATAGGCTCGCGTTCATCCGTATAAGTACGAGATGTGAAATATCGAATAGAAATTGCATATTGAACGTTTCCCACGCAATCGAGATTAATGACGTCCTTTCGCGGGCATGTTCTCGTGACGGGTGGGAAAAAAAAGAGAGGAGAAAACGCAGGATGGGAAGATATATATATATATATATATAAGCGTGGATCGACAGATTTAAAAGAGAATTTGGAATAAAGTTATCGCTTAAGTAATGGGAGGGCGCGATAACGGGTGTCTCGATTCTCGATTATCGTGTATCGTGTATTGTATTGTCGAAGTTACACGTTATATAGAAATATAGGAAGAGAAAAGAACGAGAAAGAAAGAAAGAAAGAAAGAAAGAAGAAAAGAAGAATCTGATTAGAACGATCTGATGGAGGAACGGTTCGTTCCATCCACGCGACACGGTTTAACTTACAACGGGGCCATTCGAGTGATCCACGTGAAAGAGTTGTCTAATTGATGATCGTCCTTTTCTTTCCATTCGCGCGTGACCTGACCTATTTATATAAGCGACTCCGGTACACGTACGTGCACGGGCCGAAAATCAATTTCAACGTCGAGATTATCGGGGTTACCTTCTGGATTAAGATTCCTATCGATCACGCCAACCGCGATCTTTCTCCCACCCTTCGAGCACCTCCCCAAGAAGGTCGGTTAACAAACGCTCGTCCAGACACTTGTACAAATTTCATCGACTGGCTCGCGGCCGAAATTGCACGCGATCCGTCCTCCATCACGCGGTGTATAACGATTACGCTTGCCACGAGGGCAAAGAGAAAGAGAGAGAGAGAGAGAGAGTTTATTGATCAGTCGATCGGAATTTCGCGCGTGACGAATGCCGCGCTGTAAAGGAATTTACGATGTTCGTTTCACGAGACGTCGGGAACACGAGTCGCGGCTTATACGTCGATAAAACGAAATTGTCTTCGTCAGAAATCTCGAACGTTTGTGCGAGACATTTTCCTTCGAATGGGACGCGTTCCCCCTCTAAGTTTCTAGGTCAATCGGCCATTCTAATCTCTAATATATTTGTACGTACCCTCTCAAATTTAAACGTCTAATTCCACAAAGAATAAACCACGAGTCCACGAGATCGCGCTACGTGGAATAAAAATGCTAATTATCGTTTTTTCCATCTCTTTTCTACGAAATGATTTCCGCGAAAAAACAATCCGATTCTTGGAAACGGACGTGTATACGCCTTTTATCTCTCGTTATTGCACGTTCTGCGCCAAGAATTGACAGCGCGGGCCTTCCACCGCGGCGCAATGAAAAATAGTATCTCGAATTGGATTTTTTTTTTTTTTTTTTTTTTCCCTCGATGAGGCCACGCTCTATAAATACAAAAGGGACAGAGAGGGCCGGAGAAGAAACGAGCGCGCATTCTCATTTATTTACTCAGTTCATCGTCGAATCGTCGCATTAGCGTTTAATCTATCGTTCCGATCGCCAGTCGATAGACTAATAGTCGCGTATCTAGATGTCACAGTTGCTTCCCGTCTCAAGGTTTTTTTGCCCGCTACCCCGATAATCTAAACCGTGGAAAGGAGAAGCACACACGTTCGTTCGATGTATCGAGCGGTGCCGCCTCGAAACTGTGAAAAAAAAAAAAAAAAGAAAGAAAGAGAAGAAAAGAAAGAAGAATATGTCCGGCCGTAACTCTAGTCGTTCCACCGATTTCCATTGAAGGTATAAACGTGCAACGAATACAACGTACGCAGGCTCCAGGCAACAACGTGCACGACATTGAACTTCCAGCTCGTTATCGTCAAGTACTCGTAACGTTTAATTACTTGGTCCGACGCAACTGCACATACAGTCATCGGTCATGCAACAAACAAGTACAGCTAGACGAGCAACAACGCAAATGCTACGTGCTACATCACCCCTATTTCCGGCTTGTTTCCCAAATTGTTTAAAACCACGAGTCGCGTGTAAAGGAAGAACCGTACGCGGCTCAAACTTGTATATCAAATGTAGACGCCGCTGTTACGAGCCGGAGAAAAGAAAGAACGAGCGTCTCTATGTAGGTTAAACGAGTTACGACTCGTCCAAGGTTTTTCCAACTGCTTATTTCGGATTTAAATATATCTTCAATTGTAATTTTAAATTCTATAAAGCTCGATGATATTCAACAATACATCACCACGTTGCCGATTAATCAACGAAGTTAGTTAGTTGGGAAATTGTCTCGCGACGCGAAACTATCCTTATTGCATTACGATTATACAATACACACTATTTGGAATTACTACGCGGGTATCTCTCGACTTATAACCGAGGAGATATTTCGCGATCGAATGGAATCATCCCCGATAAACGTCACCGGTTTGTGTCAAGAGTTGACCTCCCTCCCTATTGTATTATATATCGATAAAAAGAGGGGGAAAGACCGAGAGAACGGTGTATCCTAGAGAGATTCTCGCGAGCTTTATCGCGAGACTCTACATTTAAAAGCACTTTATCCGAATAGAGGTTTCCCAAGTTTCGCGGTTCGTCTCGATTTTCCAGGATACGGATACGGTTACCGCAAAAAGAGCTAACTCCCGCCTACTTTACCAGCGCCGTCGTGCCAGAAAAATTAATCGTATCCTCTGCAAAGTTTGGAAAAGCAAAAAAAAGATGGACAGATCGTTACAACGATAGATAATAGATACTTGGCGAGAATTGATCGGAGCGGTCGAGAGCGTAGGGCGTCTAAAAGAAAAAGAAAGAGACAAAGAAAAGAGGGGGAGGGGGGAAAGAAGGGAAGGAACGAAAACTACGATAAAATATAACGACTACGAGCTAAGAGCGTGCTGTCAGCGCTAAGGCAAAGCGGCAAGCGAGAGTGATAGAGTGTGGAGTTGGTATACCGGCGCGGGACTGACCGTCGTGGAGCGGATCGATCGTGTGGATCATAAGCTGTAGCAAGCCGTGCCTGAACTTGGCGTGGCTCTCCCTGGAATGAGACGAGGAGCCACCGTGGGCTCCCTGCTCGCAGCCCTGTCCGGCCGTGCCACCGGCACCACTGCTGCTGCCACCTCTGCTGCTGCACCCGGCCTCTCCACCCGCCGGTATGCCGCTGCTTCCGCATGCACCCGACACGCCACCCACGCTCGTCTCGCTACTGTTCGTCGCGTTCGGATGCTGCTGGAACACACACGTCATTTCGTCTCTCAATACAACATCGATCTCTTCCTTTTATCCGCTTCTTACATTTTTTATTTTATTTTATTTTATTTTACGTTTTTTTTTTTTTTTTATTCTTCATTTGAGCGAGCTCGTCGAAAAACTATTAACTCCTCGTCTGTTTCAATGAATTTTCACAACGTGTGTCGTTAAGGACGATATTTTGAGCAACTTTTCTTTCGTCGTATGGATCAACGTTCGAACGAAATAAAATTTATAATTAGAAGAGATTAAAGCGTGAAAATTCGTGTCGAAGTTGATTTTTTAAAATTACTAGCAATTTCGCATCAAAGTAAGACGATTATTCTGTCTTTCCGTCAAGAATGAAAATTTGGCACAAATATAAATCCAAATTGACAAGCTCGATACGCACGTAACGTGAAAAATATTTTTACACGTATGATTCCGTTATATAAGAAAGAATTGTTCAAAATGTAGTAGTTTTTCTGTTCTTAACAACTGATTCTGAAATTTACCGAAATCGGCAAGGAGGTAGCTTTTCGTCAAGTTGTCCTCGATTCGTGTTAGCTTTTATTCTACTTTATTTCCGTACTCGTACCCCTTTTCTTTAATTACTTATTCGTCTGTTTTTCTTCTTCTTTTCCTTTCCTTCGCTGCTATTTATCTTCGTTCACTCGGTCACCGTCCGCTCTAACTCGATACACGGTAGATTTTTACGAGGCCCACGTGTGAGAAAAGAAGAATCGTTGTCCAATAATACCTTCGATTCGACTAGGGATCGTTTCAAAGATCGATCAAGCGCCCTGCGAGTATCCCACCTACGCTTCGAGAAACACCCTCGTGGCTTCGATTTTTTACGACTCGAATGAATCGGGATAATGGCTACAGTCAACTTTGGGATCGATGACTTCACCAAGCAACCGAAGTACGTTTTTACTTCATACACGGCATTACACGTTATCAAAGCGATTGCGTGCTTCAAACTACCTCACGCTACCTTCTTATACGCTCGAAAAAACAGTCGGAACAACTGCTCGTTGATCTTTCACTACTAGTGGAAATCTTAATCGATGTTAACCGATGAATACGTTTAATAAATTTAGGAAACATTTCCAAAAAAAAAAAAATTATTACAAAATTCGATTTTCCACATTCTTAATTTTCCAATCACAAAAACAAAATAACGAAAAGCCTTTCTTGATTAATGATCTTAATTATGATTTATTATTATTATTATTAACAATAAACAAATCTCTCTTTTCGAGATAATTTTATTTAAAAATAAGCAAAAGGTGAGAAAAATTAGTTCCATTCAATTTTTTTTTTTCGTCGGACGAAACAATTCTTTCACAGTCGTGTTATTCTGGGGCCGGAAATATATGCGCGATGCGAAGCTTATCTTTTAATCATACATGTTTAATCATATCTGAGCGATCGTGTCAAGCATACCATATGGCTTACGTATTATTTATTTATTTTCTTTTTTTTTTTTCCATTTTTTTCCCTCGATTCTTCGAAAGGACGAGAAAGAATGGCGAGAAAGATGATCTCATCTACTATGCATGAAGCGTTAACGTACTCCCACGCCTCGGCTTCCTACTTTCAGGTCGCTTCCGGATAATCGTGCAACAGTGCTTTGGTCACGGATCACGAGTCTCGTGTGTATCGCTACTAGCCTGGATACATAAAGCCTGTCCTTTTGTTCGTTTAGATGCAGATGAATCAGGGTTGTAATGACGGCCTAACTTCACCCGTTCAACAATAAACCCGTTACGAATCAGTGAAACGCTGTTCATTAACGATAATCCATTCGATTATTCTCGACAACTTCGAGAAACGTTCTCGAAGCGATACTCCCCATCGAGTTTGACCAAAAGTTTCTTCTTCTTTTCTTCATCGTTTAACTTGAGCGAATAACAATTAATTATTATCAGTGAATTTCTTCCTCGTTACTCGATGAAAAATAAAAATCTTCTATTTTTTTTCGTTTGGTATGGACGAGTATGGAGAGCACACGAGTAAAGAAATCGAGTTCAAATAGAGATTCGATAAATTCCTCAAATATCACGATGCACGGTAACATCTGTTCTATGTGCGCGAATGTTGCGAAAACATTCAAATTTTGTACAAATATCCGCAATCCGGTTACGTTTAATCTATCTCAATGAAATATAATATTAATTTTGTCAAAAACAAATTTTTTTTGTGCTTTCAATGATGAATCAAAAAAAAAAAAAAAAAAGTGACTTTGACGAATGAGATATAATTTTAGCCTTCTTTCCATTTGGCGAAATGTAAAATTCTACGAGTCGAAAGAAAAATAAAAATCATCCATTTCCCGTTTTCAATCGTTTACAATTATGCAATAATTCGTAACACCGAATTTCTTCTTCGCGCTACCCGAATTTATCAGCGCTCTATTTACGAACCGTATAATTGTATCGAGCTTGATGAAAAATAAAAATTTCTCATTCAATTTTCCCTCATTTAATATAACGGGCATTAATTAATAGCTCCAAATTACTTCATCACTTGACTCAACGAACCGTCTTTATTTGCGGATGATATATTCCATAAAAATAGACAGGGAGGAGGAGAGAGAAAGCGAGAGGGAAAGAGCCGGCCCTGAATAAACAAACGACCTGAAAATACGCGACACGTTGATGCGGTAAAAAGTAATTTCGCGCGGGTGAAAAATACCCAGAGGTGGACGGAACAGCGGCAATCGAGACAGGGGAGAGCAGGGATGAGAAGACCAGCTATGAAAAACTATGATTGCTATGAATGCAAAATTTCGATGTACCTTGCATCCTTGTTATCCCTTGTCTTGTTTCGAATTTTCCCTCAAGATAATACTCTCTCTCTCTCTCTCTCTCTCTTTCTTTCTTTCACTCCATCGTTCCCCGCCCTCCACGGTTAAACCAAACAACCCCTTATCGCAATATTACCTGTTACGTGGCGCACCACACAGGCCCGAAATGTTTACGAATTCGTCGAGGATCCTGTTTTCCGCGCGCATACTCGCGACGTAGTTTGCACAGAAGCGACGAGACGAAGCGCGCACACTCCACACAGAACGAGATAATGATGCGGCGTAGCCGACGCATAAGCTGGATTGCTCGTAATTCCGCGACGTCGCACTGCATTCGCTTGTGTTTGCCAATTACGTTTCCACCCTATCCGGAGGAAATTATCGCGCCAGACCGACGGCTACCTTTTTCCCTCTCCCTTTTATTACGAGGCCTAGGTTTAATCGCCGCGGACCATCAGACGGATCGAAATAAATGGACGTCGAATAATTGGACGAGACGGATTGGTTTTACGAGGCCGGGGTTCGAGAAGATTCGTTCGAAATGAACGATTACGCGTGGAGATGTAAAATTTCTCAAATTTTAGCGAGCGTTCGAGCCGGAAGGTTCGCTTAGGCTGGTTCAGAAGGCTTAACGAGAAGCGAGAGCTCGAACTGAATTTTTTGAACGTATGAAAAGTTGAAAAATGAAAACTTCATCAACTCACAACTCATCTATGTGTTTCCGCCGTTTCGAATTCTCTTCAGTTTTCCGCGATATGTCGCGCGAACGCGTGCAAAAGAAATTGAAAAGTTCCATTTTAAATTATGTTTTGAAAGATGGATGGAGTGCTACGCGATGAGAGAATAATTCTTGTTATTCAACGTGTTTTCTCATTCGTGTCTGCATCGTGTGTTTTCTTTCTTGTATAGATGAAAGTCTTTTAAATTTTCTTGTTCCACTTCGACGAACGACGACGAGCGTTTTTCGACGAATTTTCTCGAACAAGAAATAAGTCGCGTGTTCCTTTTTTTTCACTTCCTGTTTTCAACCGAGTCGCGCAGATAGATGGAAATTCGAGTTGATAGCGATTAGCCAAAGACGATTCGGAGATAAACGCAGACAGTTACGAGGTTGAAATGCCAGATCTCAGCATCAACTCGGGATATATCTTTGTACATACGTCTGTGTTCGTATTCATGTCTGTCGTATCACGTCGACGAGGTAATGAACTTTGTAATTAACGAGATGGACTGCGAGAATCACGCGTGTATCCCTTCATGCGGGTATCCGAGAGTTAGGTTGAAATCATACTACTAAAATCATTTGAATACATATATATTCTACATATTAAATAGAAATGATAGAAGAATATAACATCTGTTCCAATATTCCTTATCGGATTCAAATTATTATTGTTAAACACGAACAATCGTCTTCGAAATCGAAGATAAAAAGTATCGAAGAAGAATTCTTCTTGATTCGTCGAAATTGCGATTTTTACTTTTCTTGTTAACCGGATATATTTTAACGAATAAAAATTTGTTTTCCACATTTCTCGCATTTTTCTTTTCTCTTTAAGAAAAAAATGTTAAAACTTTCTTCGTTACGAAACGATAAAATATATATCTGCGCGGAGTAAATTTGTTATCCAAGATTCGGATAACAATGTATTTTTCATTAAAAAAATCGTCTCATTTGAAAACCCTTGATTTGATCGTTGTTCCAGCAATTTTTATCGTTGCGCGTTTTAACGACGGTATTTGTGCTCCCGAAAGATGGGGCTCGTTTGTCGAAATCAATAATACAAAATTTACTCGGTGGACGCGCACCGGTGGAATATTAAATCTTCTTTTCGAGGTGATCCTGAAGCTGGATAGAATCATTTGTCACGGATTCGCTTATATTTCATCGCGAAATATTTACGTCACCGGGTTTCGGAATCCGCAACACCCTTGGGTGCCCTCTTCTCCTTCGAGACGTGGTTAAACACCGCGTTTCAACGCGGCATGAATTGTAACTCATCCGGGAAATGAAACGGTTAAATAAATCACGGGTTGCGGATGAGCCGGCCCGGGCCAGGAATTATGTATTCGATTTCGAATACGAACGATCGCGAAAGATTTTTCAGACCCCCTCCCGTAAATCGTGCCAACTTTTCTAATCCCCGAGACGAAACGAGACGCGAAGCGAAAAACGGACTTCGTTTCT